GTGACGCTGTGAGAAATCACACAGGGATTGTCAATTCTTTTCAATGGCTTGGCTGATGTTGCAGAGATGTAAATATGTACTTTCACAGGCAATCTTACAGACTATGGCTTCTGCTGCTTGGAAAGTAGGGCCAAACCTCAAGACCCTGGAGAAGTCAGACAGCAAGCAAAGGGCCTGGGGGAGATGATGATTGGGGTAGCCCAGGTGCAGGACTGCCTCTTGCTTGCTCTTCTAGGATGACTTTCATCCCACCCTAATACCCTCCCCCAATAAAGCCTTCCTCGCTGTCTTGTTCTTCTTTCAGATTATTAGCATCACTGAGCATCAGTGAGCTACAGGAACCACCGCTAACTCATTGGTCCTTTCTTTTCCCTACGAGCACCCATATGACATCTTCCATGAGAGACACTGGAGGGTTTTATATAGAGCATTACTAATTGAAACTGGTCTCCACAGAAATCAAAAGAGAGCCCCCTGGAGGCATACAGCAAGGTCACACTAATTCACGCTACTTTGACAAAACTTGGAAGTCACTTTTGTTTCGGTCTTTGCTACAAGGGATCCTATTGAGTTCTACAAGAGCATTATATTTTTTCAAGAAAGCTCCACAAGACTACAGCTGTTTTCTTTTTTTTCAGTGTGCTGTCTTCAACTTTTAGAATAGTGCTCAGTACAGAGTAAGTGCTCAATAAACACCTGAATGAATGAAATGATACAATTCACTAAATATAGAGTAGTAAAGTCACTTAAATATTGAGGAAACTGAGACCCATTGAGCTTATTTAGGCACACTCTGGGCCATAGAATAACATTGTATCCATGGATCCATTTATCTTGGCATCCTATCTTTTCATCTTAATGTCAGTCGAGGTCATTGTAATATCCCTTGACTTTACCTTGGATCTAGAAACAGAAAGCGCATGTAGGCTAAACTAGGCTTGGGTTTGTTTATGCTGTTTTCCCTTGGAACTAAGTTCCCTATGTTCAAGAGTGCAGATGACTAGCTGTCCTCTTCTGTCATGTATACCATTCACCTCTAAGCAGAGAAGAAAATACAGGTTCTATGGGAATTCAATGCAGCATGTAACCAGGTAAGCAGAATCAGTGTTTCTAGGAGTGTTGTAGAATGCTATTTTAAGATGTGTTACATTTGCTTCTGCTATGGAGCATTTGCTTAATGATACAAAGATGAGTTGCATTCTTTTATGTTGCATTTGTTTAACTCTGTGAACTTGTATTACATTGCCGGGCTAAAACACCTGATTGATCTAATAAAGAGCTGAATAGCCAATAGCAAGGCAGGAGAAAGAAGAGGTGGGACTGTCAGGAAGAGACAATAAATAGGAGAGGATCGAAGAATAAGAGAATGAAGAGCGAGAAAAGAAGGGGCTAGCTACCCAGCTGCATGGAAGTAAGCCACGAAGTAAGAAGGAAAGAAAAGGTATAAAAGAAATAGAATAAGACAAAAACTCAAAGGTACAAGGTAGATGGGTTAATTTAAGTTAAGAAAAGCTGGCTAGAAACAAGCCAAGCTAAGGCCAGGCATTTATAGAAAAGAATAAGCCTCGGTGTGTTTATCTGGGCTCTGGGTGGTGAGCCCCTCAAAGAGCAAAGAGTCAAAAGAGTAAAAAGCAACCAACAGCATAGAACTCTCTGAAGTGAATCAGCACTACCAGATACCACACAGCCCAATGCACAACCTTCTGAAAGCTAAAGGTATTTGTTTTAACCACTGGTGAATCCCAAGCACCTGGGATGTCTTTTAGTATTTACTAAACATCTGTGAATGAATTAGTGCAGTTAATGAGAAAGAGGAAAACAGAGGGACATGGTACAAGAGAGAAATGTAAGGGAGAAACAGTTATGTGCAGGATATCAGCCTTGGGGTGAGCAACTCCTATTTTCCTCCTGTTTTCCTAAGAGAGATGTATTCCTGGCATAAAGAAAAGAAAACTGACCTGAAAGACTAAGAGATTTTTTTTTAATTTAAATTATGGGACTTGGTGATTATGATCACATTTGAAGAATTATGCGACTTGGTGGCTAAGCACGGTCACATTGGATGTTACCTCATTTCCTACAACGAAACTTTCTGCCATGCATTGATGAACATCAGAGACAGCCATGGAAACATTCCTAGGAGAGAATAGAAATCTATTTATGCTATTTTTACACGACATTCTGGAGCAGCACCCTCATGAGTTTTATATATTAGGCATCAGTTAAATGACTAGTGGGGATTTTGCTCAACTTCTTAAAAATGTGCCCTGAAGCTTTCTTTGTTGTGCTTCCTCTGTGCCCAAGGCTAGTTTCAATCTTGCTGAATGATTTTTATACTTACAGCAAATCCCTGAACCAGAATATCTAATTCTGGAACTCAGTCTCTTAGAGACTAACAGATCTACCTGCCCCAAAGACTATAGGGAACCTAGAATGTACAATGTTCATACACTCGATTTCAGTGCAGATTCATAAGGCGAACCATCAGGCCATTTTATCATGAGTTGAAATCATTGCTGAGTTCACCCTTTAGCCTCTGCTTGACTGATACCCATCACATAGCCAGAGGGTGCATTTTCCATTGGTGGAAACCAGAATAATTTCCCCATGCTTCCATGTTAAAGAGCAGCAGAGGGCTCAAGGAAAATAGACAGGTACTGTGAGAAAGAGGTAGACCCTGGGCAGAGGAAAAAAGTGGCTTTGTTCCAAATTTCAACCTGGAGTCCCTGTGACTTTAACCAAAATTCTTACCAGTCTTTTTTCTGGAAATAAGAATGGTTGTTTGAAAGGAACCCCGAGTATGGAACAAAAGAACTCTTGATTCCTTGTTTTGATTCCTCAATGAGTTTGGGCATTTTAAGTGGCTGGTGACGAAGTAATTATATCATAAAGTATGATCATATTTTAATTGTTCCTAAGCTGCCTTTCATTCTCATTAGAGTTCTTCGAATGAAGGTTGAAAAACATTTCAAAGACGTTATTTAATCCTTCACACACACGAATCCCGGTTCAGTGGAAAATAGGCATTAAATTCATGTCTTTTAACTTTGTGTCTCTGGCCTTTTATTTATTTGATTCCAGGTGATTTAGTGAAGAGAATCACATGCGCTGACAAGCGCTTTGCTTAAAAACATGCCCTGTGCTCCCATTTCGAATATTGCATCAGGGAAGAAGAAAGAAAACATTTCATTGAAAATTCCCTTGTGTCTTCACTCCATTAGGACCATGATTAATTTTCTTGACGAAGAACTCGGTGTCACCAACATTTCAAGGATATTTTCCACAATAGAAGGGCTATTTTTTCCTTGAGGCTTTTATCTTCCATAACCCAAACTAACTTCCAAATGCATTGCTGTGTAGTTTGAGGAATGTCTGTCTCTGTTTCTCATTACTTGCTTCCAATTTTTGCCAAGGCGATTTTGAAATGATTAGCGGAAAATCGAGCTACTGCAAATAATTAATAGCTGGCAACATGGGCAAAGGAGGCAGGATCTGCAGCAGTGGAGGTGACAGAATGACCCACAATGTGTCAGTCACGTGTCAAGAATGGCCATGCAACCGGAATAAACATTCAAGAAGTAAATGCCATGAATCTACGCTTTGGTTTGTTGTAGTCTTCTGAGGATTCCTGAGGGTCTGAAATTTGTAATTCTTTCTCTGTTGTCCTCTCACTGCCAGAAGATGATTGCTGATATTGTTGACCACCTGCTTTCAAGATCTTTAAAAAAATAAAATTACAACGTTGTTTTTTTTTCTATTTGTGTAGACATACTTCCATAATTGATGTCACGATAGTAGTGAAAGTAAAAATAGCCCTATAAATATGTCTGTCCTTGTGTGATCGATCTGAAGTAATGCAGCCAGAGAGTGTGGAATGATTTAGAGTTTTAAATGACACCTTCTCCTTAATTTATACTGATCAGGAGGGAATTTGGATGAGAAGAATTAGTTATGCCTTCCCACGGCACAGTATGATAAATCCAGGGGCCTTAAACTATCAGGACAGCAATGGATAGAATCCTCTGCTCCTAAAATCCCATAAATGCGATAGGGAAACAAAACCCAGGTGTGACTACCCTATTTTGATGAGAACAAGTCTCAGAACTGCAAAACAAAAAGAAAGGGGACCTAGAAGTTGTAATAAGAGACAGAGAGGTGGAAGGATATGGAGAATACATCTCGCTGTGAATGTTAGGGGGAAAAAACTGGCAAAGTACAATTCTACAGTGGGGCACACCTGGAGGAAACAGGTGCCTCGGCTCCCACGGTGGGAATGGGGCACAAGAGGCTAAAGCAGGGCCCTCCTCGATTCTCCTTTGTAGGAAATATGGACGTATATGGTGATGTGACTAACAAAGGCTTTCAAATCAGTGCGTATTTCCAGGAAGCAGTTGCCACTGTGACAGCAAGAGAAGGTCCCCTGGAGACTAAAAATGCTCATTTTAAGACATATCATGATTGATAAGAGGAACGATTTTCGTCTGGACTAGAGCCACTGCCACATGTCTGTGCAGAAACCTGGAACAAATGCTCCACCAAGAATGAACTTCATTCACATGTGAAGGCCAAGGGGAACTCAACATAGAGAATCATAAATATTTGAAAGTGTGGGTGGTGGGGCTGGAAGGAATAAGGGAAAAACAAATTTCTGTGAAAAGAACCTCACTGGAAGCAAAATTTATGTTAAGTAGATGGAAAGTGCAGACTTAAAAAGTTAGAATTCAGTTAATGATGTCTGTATATAGCAAACTTACCAAATACTTTGCCTGGCCCTGTCTCTGGAAATAAGTGTGATGAATATATTAACATGTACAATACATATAGCATATATTACACACACATATTTATTTATTTGTTTAAATTAGTGGGGTAGCAACATGTATGAAATACTCAGACACCAAAAACTCAATGAATGCAAAACCAGAGAGGTCAATAGGTCATTGGATAACATGAATAAATTTGTAGGACAACCTCTTTTTTTTTCTTTTTTCTTTTACAGTCTGTTAACCTGCAGGAGAAAAATCTTGGCTTGTTTAGAAGACATCTTTGAAAGCTTCCTCCCACAGTCATGGGGACATCAACATAAAGGTAACTACTAAAAGCGTGCTGGTGTCCCTCTGGGTATATATAGTAGGTCAACCTGCCTTCCCATTGTACTGGGAAAGAAAAGAAAGTGAAGAAACAAGTACTTCCTTAGGATTCCATGACTAGAAAATCTCTTGGGTGGGCTTTAAAGCTGCAATTGTAAGTACATGGTGATCTGAACCCTTGAGTAAGCAGCTCTCAAACTACCGTCCGGATTGCAGAATATCTGGAGATCATCCTGAGTGGCATGGACCTTTGAACAGCTTTGTTTTTCAAATCCATGGACATGGGCTAACCCTTCCACTTATTTGTATCATCACCAATTTCTTTCATGGGTATTTACATGATTCTGAATCTTTATCAAGCATGTTTATAGTTATACCAAGTTTTGCTGAAGATTAGAAATTTCTACGAGTGATTATACTCAGGTCATCCGCTAGTAGGGCAACTTCACTCTCTCCTGTTTTGATGGCTTTCTTTCTTTTTTCTTGCTTACTTGCTCAACTTCGGGCTTTCATTACTAAACTGAATATACAAGTGTTAAGTAGCCAGTTATCGTGATTTGGATATGATCTACTCCACCTCCACCCACTAGCTCATGTGTTGGTGGATCCAATCACTGCTAAGAAATTTGTTCTTGAGGACTCTCATCTGATACATGAATTGGTACCTGGGGGTTCTAAATCAATAAATAGATTAATAGCCAGTGGATTCACATTAGAAGACTCTTATTGGGAGCGAATGGAAGACACAAACCTATTGTAGAAGTCAAGTCCCCACGAATGTGTTAGCAGTAACATATGCTTTGATCATGGCTCCTCCTTCACCCTCTCTGTTTCCTGGTTGTGATCGAGTCTGTTGTCCTTCTCCACTTATTGCTCTGCATGAAACAAGTCATAGGAAGAGATTCTCATCATGAAAGGATGTCAGAGTTCATGTAATAGTTCTCTGTGTGTGAGGTTGCTCCTGTGAGTTTTCCTCTTCATCCAGTGAGTTTAGATGCTTTTACCTACCCGGCCTTTGTTGAATAAACCTTTCCCACCAGGGATAAACACCACTTAGTCTGGCAGCTGATTTTTTCCCCTGTAGTATCAAATTGAGTATGTTAGTATTTTGTTGAGGCCTACTGCATCATCACGGTCTGTAATTTTCTTTTCTTATAGAATCTTTGATAGCCGAGTTCTGGCCTGTAAGATGAACTTATATACAGAAAGTCCACACCTAAGCACATATACACACAAAGTTAAAATCAGTATGCCATTGAGATCCTCATTCTGTAACTGTGAACAGGAAAATAGCACTGGGTGTCTGCCTGGTTGTCACCATGGAGATGTTATGATCACATCTGGTTAGACAGGCAGTTTCTCATCACCAGCATGACCACGGCTTCACCCATATCTAATCTCAATAATATTTCATGGCTGTGCTCCAGAAACTTAGACATTTTGTTTGCATGCTTTTCTTTTTATTTCCCCTTTGGAAATTAAGCTTTCACACATATAAGAACAGATGTTATCATTCACATTCAAATCATTTTTATGTTTCAATTTCACATGTGAATTTGTGATGTATATGTTTATGGAGAGGGTTTGTTGTTTGGGGAAAATGAGGCTATCTTAATAACACCAAATACCTAGATTATCTTGTTCTTTATGTCAAAGAAGATTCTTTGTTATTATTGTGAGGGAACAGAAACACGTCTCTCTCGTGCCAACTTATAATACAACACAGGTGATTAGAGGAATGCATTTCTTCTGTCACTGCCAAAGAGCTCTGAACTCTTCTCTTTTGCTTCTTGAGAGCTATCATATGTAATGATGTCCACTTACCCTCTCAGTAGAGAAAAAAACTTCCACTAACAATTTTGGAGGGGTTAGCTACACTGAGGAACTGGGTTCCACAAAGGAGACCGTTCAGGAACTCTCTTGATTGCTCTGTAAGCATGGGGCAGCTTCCCATGGACGGAATAAGCATTTTGCCTGCGGTAGCCTGCCTGAGGTGCCAGGTATCTAAAGAGTAGTTCTGATCAATGTCAGCTTTCAACGAGCCTGAGATCTTAGAGTTCTCAGATCCATGAAAAATTGAGTTTAAGCATAGCCTTGTCTTCCTGGCTGAGCTATCTAAAGGGGCAGCCACTTGCCAGTAAACGAATATGCCCAGGCATCACTAGAGAATGTAGCTTAGCTCCATGCCTATTCTGAACTGGAATATTGTTGACAGCACACAGTTTCTTATTGAACCTACACAGTGATAAAATAGCTTATTATGGGTAAATGTGATTCATATCTAAAAATTCAACTTAATATTCCTGAAATAAAAATCCCTTGTCCAAATTAAGATAAAGTTTAACAAGTGGTTGGAGTCAAGAGGGTGAAAAGTTGGAACAACCTGATTTGTGAAGTAGTATAATTTCCTTGCTATAAATAAATATACCAAATCCTGAAGTATAATGGTATGAAACGGTGCCTATGTAACCTCTGGTTTTTGTTTTCAGTACAGCATTCACTAAAGTACAAGATGTAGTTGAAAGTTTATTGTAAAATAGGCTTTGTGTGTGATGGTTTACACAACTGAAGGTAAATGTAAGTGTCCTGAACCCCTTGAAGGTAGGTTAGACTACCTACAGTACTTAACAGCTAGGCATATTAAGTGCATTTTTGATTTAGAGTATTTTAAACCTACCTGGAGATCATGATATAGCCTGTGTTCTCACTAATTTCAAGCTTTCAATGTAAGATCAGCACACACACATACACACACACATACTTTACCTCCTGCTAGCTGCTACCAGCTAGTACTTCACTGATTATGTGTATGGACTGGGTATTTTCTCATTATGATATAATACCAGCAAGTGGGTTGTGATGATATTTTGTTTTTGTTGACTTGATACATGTTAGATTTATTGGGAAAGATGGAGCTTCAGTTGAGACTATGCCCCCATGCTATTGGCCTATGGGCAAGGCTTTGACACATTTTCTTTATTGATGATTGCTGTGGTAGGACCCAGATCATTCCAGGAGCTGTCAACCATGGGCTGGTGGTCCTGGGTTCTTTAGGAAAGCAGGCTGAGCAAGCCCTGGGGAGCAAGCCAGTAAGCAGCACTCCTCTATGGTCTTTGCTTCAGTTTTTACTTCCAGGTTTCTGCCTTGTCGTCCCTGAATGATGGATTATGAGCTGTAGGATGAGATAAACTCTTCCCTCTCTAAGTTGCTTTTAGCCATGGTGTTTATAATAGCAATAGAAACCTACCTAAGACACGAGTCACAACTTTATCCATTTACAATAGAGTGATTCAGAGAAATGTACTTTAATTTGAATTTTGATTACTTATATTTGGTGTTCAGCTATGATTTTACTTGGCATGCCTTAAAACTTATTACTTTTATAAACATTGAGAAAAGAATATGATAATTTCACTCACGAGATGTCTTTCTGCTGTGGTAATTGTCTTTGGCTATCTTAGAGCAGAATCATCGAATTTCAGCTACACTAAGATTCCAAAGAGGAATATTTCACATTACGGTTTAATTGCCAGAATGCCTCCAACTTGGTATCTTTCACTCAGGACTGCTTTAGTGATTTTGAATATTTTGTTATTTCGTATGAAGTTTATGGTACTTTTATGTTTGTGGAGAATGACATTGACATTATGATATGTATTGCATTGAACCTGCAGATTATCTAATCTAGTGTGGTGTGGTCATTTAAACAAACAACAAACAAAAAGCCGGTTGCAGTGTACCTAAGTGGACAGCATTGGAAGAGATTTCGTTAAGTTGTAAAAGCTAGGCACAGAAGGAGAAATACCACACTGTGCTGGTTATGTCAACCTGATGCATGTCAAAGTCATCTGAGGGGGGGCACCTCACGGTGCACGCCTTTAAACCCAGCATTCAGGAGGCAGAGGCATGTGTCTCTCTGTGAGTTCGAGGCCAGTCTGGTCTACAAGAGCTAGTTCCAGGACAGGCTCCAAAGCTGCAGAGAAACCCTGTCTCGGAAAAAAAAAAATGCTTCCTTACGATTGGGCTATAGGCAAGCCTTTAGGGCATTTTATTAACTAGTGGTTTTTTGGTGATTTATGTGGGAACACACAGTCCATTGTGGGCGGTGGCATCTATGGCTGGTGGTCCTGGGTTCTATAAGAAAGAAGGTGAGCAAGTCATGAGAACAAGCCAGGAAGCATCACTCTTCCATGGCCTTTGATTCCGTTCCTGCCTCCAGGTTCCTGCCCTGTCTGAGTTCCTGCCCTGACTTCTTTCAATGGTGAATAGTGATATAGTAGTGTAAGCAAAAAGAATCTTTTTCTCCCCAAATTGTTTTTGGTCATGCATGGTATTTCATCACAGCGAGTAACCCCAAGTGAAGCACACATGATTTAACCAACGTGAGGAAACAAAGAAGCAAAACAAACAAACACTGCCTCTTAGAAGAAGAGCAAGGAAGAGTGGTCACTAGAGACCAGGAAGACTGTTGGAGAGAAAGAACAGAGAGAGGTTTGTTAAGGAAAACAAAAACAAATCAGAGGGATTAGCTCTGGTGGTCTATAGCCTGGCAGAGCAACTGTGGTCCACAACATTCTGTGTTCTGATGCAGCAGATAAAGAAGAGACTGCAAGTCCCTAGTGTATATAAATTATTCATGTATGCGGAGCCAGAAAAGCAAACTAGCCCGATTTGATCACTACACTTCATATAAATTGCTCTGCACTCCATAAATGCCTCCAAGCATTCTTTATAGTCTTGTGAATTCTGCTTCGATGTCACATATAAAAGGATGAGAGAATGACTACTAATCTAGCATCTAGTCTTTCCCCATCATAAAATACCCAGAAGTCTGATAGCATGACTGGCTTTGGCCAGTTGGATTCAGAAGTTATTGCTTCACTGGCCATCAGTGAGACTTAGGGAGTAAAGCCCACCTAAGAAGGCTACAGCTTTGACCTAATAACCCAGTGCTGGGGCTTAGGCACTAACTGCCCTTTGAGGAGAACTTGGCACTCT